CGCCCCGCGCTGGGACTGAAGGGGCAGCTGCTCAGAGGCAGCGTCCTCGCAGAGCTGCGCCTCGGCCCCCGACCACGGGCCTGTCCTGGGCCTTGCAGAGTCCCCATCTGCAGCCTCCCGCCGCGCTTGGGCAGGGGGAGAATCAAACCGAGTGAAAGCAGGCTTTGCCTCCAGCTGAACTCGACCAGCCAGCCCTTTCTAGATGACAGAGCACCAGGAAGCCGTTGGGGATATGGGCACTTGCTGGGATACGTAGCAGGCATGTTGGTCATAGACTCGTAGTTGTCGGGGCGGGAAGGGACCTCACGGATCACTGGGTCCAGCGCTGCTGCGCTTGGGCAGGGAAGACTGGTGGGGTCAGATGATGCCAGCCAGGTGCGTGTCTAGATGTTTTTTGAATGTTTCCGGAGTAGGGAACGTTTCCACCTCTGGGGGAAATCTGTTCCAGACCCCGGACACTCGAACCATAAAGAAGTTCTTCCTTATGTCCGATCTAAAGCAATCCACTAGCAGTTCATGACCATTATTCCTTGTCTTCCCCTGGGGTGCCTTGGTGTACAGATGCTCCCCCAGGCCCTGAAGTGCACCCCTTATGTTCTTATAGGCTGCCACCAAGTCTTCCCTAACTCTTCTCTTCTCCAGGCTGAACAGTGCCATGTCTTTTGGCCTCTTATATGATCTGCTCTCCAGACCTCTAACCATACGTATAGTCCTCCTTTGGACTCTCTCAATCTTCTCCACAGCCTTCCTGAAGTGCAACTCCCAGAATTGAGTAGAGCAAGAGGACAACATCCTTAGTCTTGCTTGAGATGCATCTGTAGATGCATACCAGTGTCTACTGGCAATGCGTAGGGGGTGCACGTGCACCCCCTGCCCGGCCATGCTTTCTGCTTAGGTGATGGGCAGGAGGGGCAGGCAGGAGTGCTGGTGCCCGCCTGGGAGTGCCAGCCGGGGGGGCAGGAGCACCAGATGTAGTGCTGCAGCCACTTCCCAGTCAGTGAGTTTTGCCACAGGGGACCACCTCCCTGTCACTGGGGCAGGGGGGGGGGGCCTGTGGCCGCCCCCCCCCCCCCCCCCCCCACTAAGGTGGCACCATTTGCCCATGCCAGTGTTTTACATGCTTTGCTAGCTACAGCATCGGATTGATGGCTTATGTTTATTCTGTGGTCTAGCACGACACCCAGGTTTCTTGTGGTTGTGGTGCTAGCAAGTGTAGCACTGCCAACCCTGTAAATGTTTGCAAATTATTTCTCCCCAGATAGAGCACTTTGCATTTTTTGGTGTTAAACGTCATCAGGTTTTGATCTGCCCACAAGTGACTGTGAGCCTGTCCAGGTCAGCCTGTATCCCCAGCCTATTTTCCAGCATGACCGTGGTTAATTGAACCCCTTCAGCTCCTGTCATGCTCAGAAGGAGGCCTCTCATGTCACTACCTTCCTTTGAAGCAACCTTCAATTTTGGAGTGGTTTTGGGCAAGTTTCTAGTGCCAAATATTCATGTTGCTCTCTGTCCTTTTGTGTCTGTATAACCTTTGGTGAGCATGTACAAAGTAGGCTCAATCCACTCGCATTTGGGAAATGAGAGAAGGAATTGGGGATCCTGGTTTTATGTAAATCCCTGGCAACTCTCTGACTTTGTTTCTTTAAATCTGAATTAATTTCAGGAAAAGATCTTTCTTCTCTCTGGTCTGACTCCCCTTACTCATTGAATGATCATGCACTGAAGTGATACTCCTGTACTCAGTTGTCATGGCTGCTGCTTTTCTTTTCCATGGAGGCCTAATATTAACAGGATATTTAGACCTTGAGCTATGGGTCAAACTCGCCATTGACCTGTAACCACAAAGAAAACGGGCCAGTGTCTTTTTGGCTCATTAAGAAGGATCCTGCTTTCCTCTGACAAAAAAAAATCAAAATTCTCTGATAAAACCAAAATCTGCATTTTTCCGAAACACAACTCTTTGTGTGTGTGTGTGTGTGTGTGTGTGTATGTATTAATTGAACAGTGTTTTGATATATTTACAATTTTAAAGTAATTTGGATGTCTACCAGTGCCTCGATCATTATAATTAAATAAATTCTAAATACCTATAAATGTTGGTATTTGATTTTGGTTTTTATATCATGGGAAATCGGAGCTCCCCCATCTGCTTTGCTCACGAGAATGTGTGTCTAGCTGTGGCTGTCCCCCTCACTGCTTTGTGGTGCTGAGCAGTCCTGATATGTTGGTGCCTTGCCCCTGCCCATGTTGTTTCCCCTCACTCTCAACCCGCGGCCCCCGAGCCCTGCTGGTGCCCCTCACTCCCAACCCACTGCCCCCAGTTCCCCAGCATGAGGGGAAGGGGCAGAGGGCAAGGGTTGTGTAGGAATAGGTGATGCCCTAGGCAACACGTTGGGGGGGGCCATAGGGAGGGCACACGCCAGCTGCACCTTCATGGCTGCCAAGGTGAAGCACTGCAAAGTTGTGCCTCCCTGCTGCTGATGGGTGGGCAGGCCATCACCTTAGTGGCCATGGTCACGTGGAGTTCCTGGTGCTGGTGGCAGCACCAAGCCTCCTCGCCCCGCTCTGTGCTCCCACACCAAGTTGCACTTGCCTGGTGTTGATCTAGCCAGGCTGCAGTCCTGTGACCTGCTGTACCCCTGATATGTGCCTCTACAAACTTCCCTGACATGTCACCTGTGCCCCCTCATGTCATCTCTGTCCTCATGCATCATCTATGTCCCCCCCAATAGACTTACCTGCAGAGAGCTGCTCTCCGCCATGTTTTTCCACTGTATTGCTGGTCATGAGCATGTGTGCGCACACATGCACATGGCGCATGTGCCAGCCTGTAAGGGAAAACCTGCTGTTTCCCATATTTTTCTCCTTTAAAGGAGAAAATCCGCATTTTTCTGTGGGAAAGAGAAATCCTGGATCCCTGCTCGTTAGCAAGCTCTTTGCAGAAATGCAGAACAGGATTGGCCGGGTTAACAGTGTGTGGCAACTGTCCTGTTCTACCTAGGAAGCCAGCTGCTACAATTTGGGATGTGGAGTGTCTGTGTGTGTCTCCCTTTTTTTTTGAAAACTAGAAATAGAGGAAAATGGAAGTAGAAGAGACTACAGAGGGCACATTGGGGAGAAGATTGAGGGGACTGTGACAATCTTTGTTTTGTGTTGCAAAGTAGGAAAATGTGTTTATCTAGGTGAGAACCAGGCCTGTGAACTACTGGCACAGAATCACAGAGAAGTAGGGCTGGAAGCAGGGCTCCATGGGTCATCTTGTTCAACCCTTTGCCTGAGGTAGGATCAACCCTATCTAAACTATTCTATACAAACAGTAATCTAAACCTGCGTCCTGTCAATCCTGATACAAAATAAACCTAACACCCTAATTTGCCACACGTAAAGCAGGAGAACCATGGCAGCCAATGTTCTGCTTTTATAAAATGTTGTCAATATATGCTCAAGAGTTCCTGGGTAGAGGGCCACACATCCCTGCTATAAAGGAAGGCAAAAACCCCCATAGTCAATACCAATTTGACCGTGGGGTAAAATTCCTTTCTGTCCTTAAATATAGGAATTGGTCTGACCCTGACCAGAGGAGGTATGAAAGGGATGTTCCATTCACTATATTAGAATCTGCTAATTCAATATATTTCAAAGATGAAATGTAAACATAATATTTTTATGATGTGTTAACAGCAGTACAGCACGTGTAGTAACTGAGTAGTATTCCAGGGAGGTGTAGGAATACTACCAATCGCTATATACCACAAGCAGCAAGCATAAAATATGATTCATTGTTGTGGTTGGTATATAAAAGATTCCATTGCAGGGCCAGGGAGCTTTTGGATTCTTCAAAAGAAAAACTGACATTAATGTAATTATACCTTCTCTTTAAAAAAAAAAAAAAAAGGGGGG